GACTTCAGGATAGGGACACCCCTATCCTGTCTGTACTGGGATTTAAAGGCTCCAATGGCTTTTATTAAAGTCTTGTAATGACACGTTTCATCAACAGCCCCTGGATGACAAAGTTACATACCGATTGTTGAACACCCGGTTGCAAGGGAAGCAAATTTACTTATAAAATAAATATTCTCCTGCACATTTGCAGCAGCCTTTGCTATAACTTGCTAACTCTTCTCCCTAGCATCCTGCAAGGGAGCCCATTTCTGTGGCAACCCAGCTTTTTTGAGAGCAGTGACCTGAGCAATAGACAGTTGGGGGTTCAGGAACTGGTTTGTGAGGTTGTTTGCTTCCTGTTTTTGTTGTTTAACAGTCACCTCTTTTGCTGTTCATCTACCAGATGTTTCAATGTACTAAGGCCCTAGGTGAAAATCCAGTCTAGAGATGTAATGTTTATCATCACCGCAGCACTCCTCTATCCAACAAGGCACGAGTGTGCGACCGTCTGCGGTGGCAAACGCATTGCAGAAATGGTATAGCTCCTTGTCTTGCTTTCTGAGCCCTCTTAGGGGTGGTTTTATTCGGCTGGGATTTGTTGGTGTTATAAAGGAAAGACTGATGTAGCATGAAGAAAGCAAAGCAGTGTGCTAAGTCCCTTTTACCTCTGCGCCATCTCTTCCTTCCAGTGAACTCCTTCAATCTCTGTGATAATCAAGTTCCCCACCCAGCCAGAGATCAGTGGCCTGTTTCCAGTGCTCATTTCATGGTTAGGTGGGTTGGGGTTTTTTCCATGCATTTCAATAATTTCTGCTCCAATGGTGACTGGACACCTCTATGACCCCAGAGGGAACTAAATTCACAAATGGGCTTGATTGGAGAGAAGTAGCTTACCTGCCTTGTTGCTCACCTTCATGTGCCCTGGGTCCAAACTCCAGGTCATCCATTGGCAAGAGCACAGGGGCATGGGAGGCATTGTGGAGCTGGGGTGCCTACCAGAGTAGTCAGGCAGGGGTGGGTGAGCGTGCCCCTTTGGATGCCTGAGATGGGGTTGGCCTTCTCACCTAGCAATTCTGCAAGTCGTTTTGGCAAACTAGTAATAAGAAGGTTGTTTTACTCCGTGGCCTTCTTCAGACATGTTGCCTGGAGGCCCTGGTTTTATTCTCCAAAGTCTCTATTCTGCAGTTCAATAGGACATTCCTAGCATAATACTGAGGACCTATTTGATTACAATTTAATTTGGTTTTGTTCCTTAATTAGGACAGATTGGGCTTTCTTCCCATCTGTTCTAGAGAAATCTCTAGTGACTGATTCTTAGGAAAATAATATCAAAGCTCCCTCCATTTTTTTCATGAGCTGATACAAGGTATTTACTAGAGGATCTTCCTCATCCAGCATCATAAAAGCTGAACCAATGGAAAGGTTGGTCTTGCAGAGTATGGAGGCATGAAGCTCTAGGGTAATATATCATCTGGAGACTTTCACCATCATAAACTGACCCAGCTGTCCCTGCCATCTCAGCTTCTCCTGAGATTTGTGTGTCCTTGGAGCTGGAAAATTCACTCCAGAAGTGAAAATGTTAAATCCTCCTTAGGAAATTTTACCCTGGAAAAGAATACATGCTCATACAGTCTCCAGCATGTATGAGACTGTGCTGGAAACATAGGCACTTCCAAAAAAGATGCATGAAGTGCAGCAATTAAAATGTCTTGCTACGATGCCTGAACTTCACTCTGGCCTTGTGCCAAAGACTGTCCTCGTTTGACTCCACAGGTAGTTGGTCATTCAGGCTGGTACCCGGACGTGAAGCCAGCCACAGCACTGCCTTGCATGATGCCGACTAAGGAACTGATGCGCCTTAACCACAGTAGCCTGCTGAGCCATCTAGGCTTGGGCAGACCTGTGACCTTGACTAAGGAAGATGACAGACAGTTGTACAAGATTTGAAGGCTCACTTTTCAGAACAATGTCATACTTGCTCTCTGTAGGGCTGAGACCCAATGGCTGGCTTTTTTCTCCTCTTACTACAGACCCTTGCAAGCACTTCACTAATGGATGTCACTCCGATGTGGAGCAAAACCCCTCTTCTGTATCTCTTTTAAATAGCAGCAGCTGCTGACAGGGTCCTATACCTCTATAGCTGACATCTCTAGCATCAGTAGCTGGATGTAGCCAGACATAAGATAGTTACATGGCCCCGATTTCTGCAGTGTCTGAGCGCCTCTCGATCGTTAATGGAACTTCTCCTCCTAACGTAACTAGAGAGAAGTTCTGTCATTATAGCACTGGCCATCTGGGGCACAGAAGATCAAAGGGACTTGCTTAAGCCATCTGAGGAGGAACATGAAGTTGAACCTAAGTGTGCTGAGTCCCAGAGAAGTACACTGATGAAGGAACCTTGCTTCTAAATCCAGATGTGTGCAGGGGTGGGGGGAGTGAGTGGTTGCTTTTTTGCTAGGAAAACACTTCCCAGTTGCAGAAATAGCACCTTTATCCTCTTTCCCCTTCTCTTCTCATAGCTGAGCAGGAAAGGGGGAAAGGTCCTTTTATTTCAGAAGGCTTTTTCTTGATGGTTTCACATGAATTGCAAGAGATTTGTCTCACTCTTCACATATTTAGTGTTTTAAATCTGTATGGCATTATAAGATGCCTAGGACATCTTTGAAAACTGGTGCAATACAAATGCACTGTAAATATTACCCCCGGCTTTTAAACTGGCTTTGCATTGCTACTTCCATGTTCTCAGGTCCTGAGCACTTTTAGAGTAAATGATTTGAAAATGGGGAGCTGTTAATACAGGACAGCTTTGGGAAGCTCCCTCATTTTTATTTTTTTGTGTGCAGTTTCAGAGGTTTGTTCTCATGGGAGCTTTGTAGCTATGACACATCACATGCTGGATCTGGAAAATGTTCCTGATTCTTGGGCTGGAATTTGTGATTTTGCAATTCCCTTCATTGACATCACATGGTTTCTAAACAAAAGAGTGATAAGTACGAGCCAAGGAAGTTTGTGAGCCCTCCCAAAATAAACATCTTCTCTGAATTGATCTAGCTCTATCTCTAGAGTGCGACTGGGGCTCAGCTCATCGAAGAGAAGGATGGGAAACCCGTGCTTGCTTTGAAATGTAACCAATCTTCTGTTTGAAGGGGGCATCAGGCCTCCACCTGCCCCCCAATTAATAATGAGATAATCCCAGTTTCATTTCCTCCCTTATAACCAGCGAGTAGAAAGAGGATATACTCTGTGCTGTGTTTGAAATGAGAATCCCCTTGGGCAAGGTGAAGTACATACTCAGGAGATCATGTGGGGCAGTCTCAGTTTTTCTGATGATAGTTTTCTTTGCTTTCTCATTATAAAGACATGCCCCTGCTGATTGCAGGGGTTATCTTTCCCACCCCCCCATGAGTTCACCCAGTTTACACCTGTTCAGTGTCATTTTTAACCCTAGCGCTTACCTGCAGCCAAGCTGTCGGTAAAGCACCACACACATACTGATGAATTATTGCTAGAATTTTATTCTGACATCACTTGTAGGCATGGCAGATCTATGGGGGCCTGGCACATCCCATTCATAAAGAGCAGCCCCTTTTTTGATATACACAAGGCTCCTTTAGCAGTGTATATACAGCTAAGCCTACCTTCACCATGCTCCTGGACAGCTCCCTGGCAGCTCCGGTGATGTAGCTCTAGTCTGCAGACTAGGAGAGGGATTTGGAGGAGGCTTGGATGGATTTAGGGACAGTGGCAAAGGGTCTAGAGTTGGCTGAATCCCTGGAGGCAGGGGCAGGTTAGTTCCTCACTGGGTTGCTTCAGCCATTGGGCTCTGCTGTGCAAGAAGCTTTTCCCCAGTCCATTGCTCCAATGTCCTGCTTATTTCTTGGGACAGGGATGGGTGGAAGATTTAACTCTCACAGCTTAAAAGCACTTGTCCTATTCAAAAGGTTTTGAGACCTTTGCTAATTATTACTCAGAGACCTGCTGTCTCATTATCGCAGCCCATCTAAAAGTAAGGGGAGCAGAAGACCCTGGGTTGTTCGGTAGAATGGGACTCTAGCAAAGTGATGCTTTTATTAAGGAATAAACTCCCAGGGCACCTGGAAATGAAGTGGGGGGAAAAAAGATCTGATCTAGGGTTTTCGCTGTTTAAAGGAAGGCATTTCTGATAGGTCCAACCAAAATCCTGGTCATTAACAGAAGTATAAAGTCAAGGAATGAGCAGCGCAAATTGAGTTAATGGGAGAGATTGGAGATCATGCTGCAAATGTGGGTTATCACCTTCCAGTGATCTATAGCATAACCTGCTGCTAACAGTTGAGTAAGAATCCAACCCTCCAAAGTGACTGGTCCCTCAGGGATGACCTGAGGTTAATTATGAGATCTGATTACTAGCCTGGGGTCAACCATATAGTGCAACCTGCATGTCTAGGTAGACCTGGAAGAGTCTGTGCCTTTGTGCATTCCAAGTTAGCCGATTGCATTATGTTGTTTGTTCTATATAGATATATATATCTATATATAACCCCCTAAGTGATTATGGCTCTTTACAGCCAATGTCTCCACTGCAGAAGGCTTGCAATTTAGGTCAGCAATAAGATAAAGCAGCAGACTCTTAAATAAAGGTCGGTAGGAGCATTAAAACTCAGGTGCAAGGAGATAATCTCTTCCCTGCAATGTTGCTAATGTACACAGTGTCACAGTATAGCTGTTAATCATTAAAAGCCAGGAAAGGAAGGACACCAATAAACCACAAATCGTTGCTTAGTCTGGATGGCAGTAATCAAAGGACACACAAGCTGATTATGAGTTTGCCTCCCACTGCTTCCCTGGCTATTCAGGCAGTAAGTAAGGCTGTCCTGGTTAAGTGCAACCCGAGTAAAATTCAGAAATAATTCATCATTTTTTGTAGGTAATGTACAGATCACATCCTTAGACAGTTTTCCTTCATCTCAGCTGCAGAAAGCAAACTCCTTGGCACCAGAGCTGCTAATCTTGCAGCTTCAGATGGCTTGGGGGTTTACTGATGATGTTGCAGTCACTGCCAAGTAGCCAGACTCCGTCCAGAATCACAAGCATCTTGGATATGAAAAATGGAATTATCTTTTAACCCCTTCTTTGTCCTGGCTCTTAAATTGGTTGAATGAATTTGTCCTGTAACCAGATTACCTTGCTATATTATTATTATAAGCTGAGAGAGGTCAGGTCAAAGTAGTGTTTGTGTGCTGTTGCATTGTACTTTCAGGTATGTGAGTCCTGCTCTGGGTATGTGCGCAGGTGCTGGTTTTATGCAAGAGACTTACCCAAAGGTTCAGAGCACGCGTGGTTCTGTAGCACTTTGTGCAAGAGGAAGGGTAGGAGCCCTACTACCCAAAAGAGCTTTATATTGTAGCATTAAGCTCTGCCTCCTTTGGCAACTCACACTTCGTTACAGCTGGATATTGTGCCCTCTACTCCTGTCCTAAACTCTTCAGGCTGCATAGCAACGCATCATGAAACCGCTGGCACCTCCAGGGCAGCTGTATTGCAGTAGGGGATGGAATTATTCTTACAGTAGATCTGTCTGGCAGAGTGTAATGCTGGCTAGAGAAACTCAGGCTAGCTCTGAATGAGCCAGCATTGGTACTGAAAAGCAGTATGACCCGTGAGGAGATTCCCCAAACCTACTGCTGTGGTGTTGCAGCAGAGCTCAGCTGTTTATTTTAGCCTGGGAGCCGCACGTTGTCTAGGCCTGAAACAGTCACACACATGACACAAGGTTGGCAAGCGGACAGAGCAGTGGGTTGGGACTCAAGAGACCACAAGTTTGCAGGGCAACCTTAGTCAGGTGACTCCACTGCTCTGTGCCTCAGTTTCCCCATCTGTATTATGGATATAATGATATTTATGTTTGAGCTCTGCTGGCATGAAACACTGTGTAAGAGCAAGTTAGTGTCAACTGAAATAGGTGGTA